TTTTTTTTTTTGCCTTCCGACAATTGCAGATGTACCTCAGAAAACTTTCACTGAATGTCTCATACTCTACATGAATATCAAACCAATACGAAGTACAGCAACATATATATGTAGGACTTATTTCTACTACGTGTCACTTACATTGTTATTATTTTTTTTGCCCTCCGACAATTGCAGATAAATGCAGACATACATAAAAAGTCGATCGTAAAGGCCGTCATGCCAAGCCATATTAACTCGATGCCCAATACTCTAGGAATGTTTGCCTCTAAGTCAACAAAACTTTGGTCGAAACACTACAGCTGAACTCTAGGCACGAACCTTAGATGGAGAAAAACGAACAAAACCTCAACCTCATCCACCCGAAATCAAACAAAACTCGGCCCCGTCTTCCCTGGTACCCCTGACACCGTTTTGAACAGAAATCCGCTTTCCACCGAAGTGGTTAAGTTAAAGCTGTCGCACGCATATTTCGGCGCGCAAAAGTCTGTGGGGCATTGCTGATCGATACTGCCACCGGTCACACCAAGAGAGAAACACCCGCCGTCTTGCTCTTTCTGAGACACCCCCCACTCAAGCCCATGTTCCCCCAGACCCCCGACACTGCCACCCCCTGTTCCCACTTCCTTGCCACCTGCAACCACAAGGGCCAAGCCCTCCCCCCTCAGCACTCCCGACGCCGTATCGAACAGAAATCCGCTTTCCACCGAGAACAAGGTTTTCGTGTGATTGAGAGCGAAGTTTCTGATTGAGAGCGAGATTGCGCGATGCGCTGTAGCTGGACTACCGCTGAGAGGTGGAGCTTGCTGCGTGACTTGAATTGAAGGCCTAGCCCGTAGCTACAAGCCGATACCCTGGTCATCCTGTGGGCGTCTCTCGTTGTGGAGCTACAGCGGGGAGCAGAATCTACAGCAGAGCTCACCGCCCGCGATCAAATCGCCCTGAAACAGTTTGAGGCAGGAATAGCCAATCTGGGGAAATCTAGCAACTTGTCTAGCTCCTAGCAGCAGCATCCGATCGCGATGACACGCATATGCTCGTGACGCTGCTGATGAGACCTTCAATTTGCGCCGCTTCTTGGAAGAGCCCGCCCCTTACTTCCCAAGAAATGGCAAGAGGCGTCTGGACCCAAAATTTCAATTTTTTTGGCTCCCGCTCTCAATCGTATACTCCGATCTCAATCAGGCGAAAACCCTGTTCGAAGTGGTTTGGTTAAAGCTGCATCGTAAAAATACCTCCACTTCAATTTGAAACAAACCAATGACAATGATTGAATCCTCATGGTATCCTACATGCATGCGTTCGCAAGCTTGCTAAAATACTACTTACTGCGTTGTTCTCTTGTAAAAGCTGAAATCCAACAAATGCTTTATTGGTATATTCTTAAGTGCGGGCCGGCACTGTAGTGTTATGAGGTGCATGCCCCAATACTTGGTGAATAACCTGCTTCTGGGGCAGACTAGAACAATACCATATCCATCCGTACATACAAGGCCTGGGGTAAAGAGAGCACCGCAGCAAGGGGTGATGCAAAAACATGAAAAAACAAGTAGAGGAAAACAGGTGTTGTATGCACATATATATATATATACATGTACGTATCCATAGACTACTTCCAAACGGTTTGCGCCGTTAAAAAGAGCTCGGCGAACTTTTCCTTCGATAAAAGGAGCATTCTGTAGGAATTTGACTGAAAGAACAAACCCGCAAACAGCTTGTACTTGGTTTCGCCCGCATTTAGATCTCATTAAGGCATCCGACCCTCGCATCTAGAGCTCACCCATCTCGGCGCCTCTACACCTAAACTCGCCACACCAAGAGTGTTAAGGACCACACCAACCAGCCAGCCAGTCAGTGTCGTCCTGGTGATAAAATGCGTTGTGTTCAATATTTTCTGGAGTGTTACCCCGCACACGCATGTATGCATACAGTATGTGAATGTCATGTGTGTGTACACAACGTATACAAAAGTGAAGGAGAGAAAATGAAAAGAAGATGCGACTTTCAAACAGTCGGATTCCTGGGCGGAAAAATGACTTGAAATCTCATGCTTTCGACACGTACGTACGGGCCTTCCTCCGACCGCATTTTTTTTTTGTCCCGAGAAGACAAATCGTCCGTTGTTCGTTGTGTCGTTCACGTCACAGCATTAATGTGTAGCGTGCTCTCTTTTCTTCTGACGTTTTAACGTGGCCGATCACCTTGTGGCATGTGCTGATCTGCTTCTGCTAACCTCCGAAACAACTGCTGTCTGTCACCGCATTTTTGCCTGATAACAGCAGCAGCAGTGAAATAATACAAGCTGGTCCAGCCGAGACGCGTATTTCACGGTTGGACCGGATTTCCCGCGCGTTTGTTTTTAATCAGGACCTGAAATTTTGAGACGGCATCTGCATGAGTACAACAAAAAAAATTACCACTGCGCCATTTGGATTTTTGTTTTTTCATGAGTTACCCTATTGTTGAAAATATGGGAGTACGTGTTTTGGGACAATGAGTTACCCTATTGTTGTAAATATGGGAGTACGTGTTTTGGGACAAAGTGACAAAAAAAAATCCAAATGGCGCAGTGGTAATTTTTTTGTTGTACTCGGTGCAAGATTAGTTGGGTTGAGTTTTTAATAGTTGTAGCTTTTTAATAGTTGTAGCTTTTTAATATATATATTTATTAAGTCTTTTAAAATATTTATGACCACTCGAAATAAAGAAAAGGATTGGGAAAAAAGAGGAGTGAAAGTTTCTCGAGTCTCTAAAGTAGTAAAAGGTGGTAAAAAAATAAGCTTTCGTGCAACAGTTGTTGTTGGTGATATGCAAGATAAGGTTGGAGTTGGGATTGGTCAAGCTGAAGAAGTTAGCACAGCTATAAAAAAGCTGAGACAGATGCAAAAAAAAATGTAATAACTGTTCCAAGTGCAGAAGGGAAAACGATACCTCATGCTACTTTTGGTATAGAATGTGGTTCCAAAGTTTTTATTAGGCCTGCTGTTCCAGGAACAGGTGTTATTGCTGGTGGTTCAGTAAGGATTGTTTTAGAGTTAGCTGGTATTAAAAATATACTATCCAAACAACTTGGATCTAATAACCCTTTAAATAACGCCAGAGCTACGATAACAGCTTTAAAAAGTTTAGATACGATTAAACAAGTAATGGAAAAACGACAAATATCTTTGGAACAAGTGTTAGGGAAATAAAAACCTCTAAAGAGATTTGTGAAAAAATTACTTGTTAATGTAAAAGTAATATCTATTTATTTAAATTTTTTCATGACATTACAACAATTAAGAAGCAAAAATACGCCATCTTTTAAACAACGATTTTTTTTAACTCTTGGTTTACTTACATTAGTTAGGATAGGTAGCTTTATACCGTTACCCTATATAGATACAAAAACTTTTTCTCCCTTGTTAGAACCAAATACTTCAACAACAGCAGTTGCAACAATTTTAAATAGTTTTTCAGGTGGTGGTAATGCTTCTTTTAGTATTTTGAGTCTTGGTATTCTACCTAATATAAACGCTTCCATAATAATTCAGCTTTTGACAACAATTAACCCAACCCTTTTAAAATTACAAAAAGAAGAAGGGGAATATGGTCGACGTAAACTTACTGATTATACACGATATTTAACCTTTTTTTGTTCTATTATTGCAAGTATTGTTACAACTTATAGTTTTCGCTCCTTAATATTTAATTGGAATATTCTAGTGTTAACACAAATAAGTTTGACCTTAATGTCAGGTTCAATGATTATCTTATGGTTTAGTGAATTAATTACTAAAAAAGGAATTGGAAATGGTACATCAATATTAATTTGTTTTAATATTGTTTCTAATTTCCCTGACCAACTTCGATCTATGATCTTAGTTTTATCAAAACAAAACATTATAATTAGTCTTTTTATTAGTGGAATATTTTTATTAACAACAGTTGGATGTATTTATATAAATGAAGCAATAGTAAAAATTCCATTAGTTTCAGCAAGCCAATTATTAAGAAATGTTAATAAATTTTCCTTATGGAATCAAAGCAATTT